CCATCCTCAGAAAAGCAGCAACTCGTAGCTGGTCAGACTCAGATTCCATGGTTATCCAGCACAACTTGCTACAGGTGAAAAAGCGAAGGGCTGCAAAGAAGAGATGATCATCTCTGCATAAAATGGGCATCAAGAGTAGTTCCGTTGTTGCGCTAGGCCTTAATTTAGGGAATTGGGTTAGGGAAGTGGGTAACAGAGAGCCTGCTTCTAAAATGTTTATCTCCACATAAGCAAGAAGAGGGTTGCTTCAACAGGAATAGCCTTATAAACAGATGCACTACAATTTCCCACTAAAAAATATTTTCTTGTAAGCCTTGCAATCATGCCTCAGATTCTATGGGCAGTGCTTGTGTTAAGCATTGCCCTCTTCCTAAGGCCTTAAAATGGAAAGCAGTGCATCTAGTGATTAAGAGCCAAGTTTCCAATTGGGACTCAGCTATTTACTAACTCTTCATCCTAGGAAAGTTGCTTAAATTCTCTAAAGTTCAGTTTCCTCGTCTTAAAAGGGGTAACAAATGGTACCTTCCTCAAAGAGTTGTTGAGATGATTAAAGAGAGAACATTATTAAGTGTTCAGCACAGTGCTTGGCACATAGGAAATGTTAAAAACAAAAACAACAACAAAAAATGGCAGCTGCCCTTATTACGTAAAATACAAATTACCTTGCGGAAGATTTCCCAAAATCTCCATGAATGAGTTTGGCAGGTGACTCTTTTTCAGATAGTTTGGCAGAGAGTAAACACCATGGGCTTTGAATTCGGATGTGGGATTAAATCCAGGCTCTGTCATCCTAGCTCTGAGAGTCTAACTCACTTTACCTGTCTGAGCCTCAGGCACAGTCTATTTTAAAATGGGGATAACATCTCACTTTATGGGACTGTTGTGAGAATTACAAGAGATGTTTGTGACATGTCTGGTACATAGTAAGGACTGAATATGTGAATCCTTTCAGGAAGGCAACGGGCTCTGACACATTATGAGAGGGAGAGTGCTGAATGTAGGGAGATGGATGTTAAAAGGAACGTTGGGAAACTGGAGACAAACTTATGCCTTCTGGGCTTGACCTGAGATTTGAGTACTCTACTATCAAGATAATGGAAAGGTGTTAAGGACCTAGTGCCATAAAAATTTTAGTACACCATAATAATAATAAAAAGAAGTGATATGGTATAACTATATATGGGCTTAGGGATCAATATACAGGACAGGGCATGATTCCCATCCTACTCGGGGGCAGGATATATTGGGCTTGTTAATTGGCATGAAAACTTCGCCAGTAGGGGGCCTAGTAAGATGATGACAGGCTAAGCCCATCAGATCCTCTCTTGAATTTGGTAGTGAGGGAGGAGGATCAGGGACACGGAAAATAGAAAAAGATTGTTTATGGCAATAATGGGTGCTGATTGATGCAGTACAAACAGGTAGGGTAAGCTGATAATGGTAATCATTACATCACCAAAATGCTTGAAAATTAGTGGCAGGAGAAACAGATAACAGTTTTGAGGGGAACTATTATTAGAGGTATTGACAATCCATATCTCTCCCTAGACTGCTAGAGCTACTGTTTTATCCTGAATATGTAAAGATTCCAGTTATCTATGAGGCTTGGTTATATGGTCATCAAAATGGTGTACTTGTACTGACCTCTGTATTTCTCTATATATCTTTATAATAAATTCTCTTTAGCAGACAGGATCTAAGCTTATCTGGGTTCTTTACAAACTGAAAGAACTTAAAAGAAATATTTTGGTGTGAATTTCAGCCCTGCCACTTACTAATTTCTTCATCTGTAAAATGGGAAGTGAGGATTAAGAGTTCATACGTGCAGAACATTTAGAATAGTGCTTGGCATACAGCAAGTGTTCAAAAAGTAATTATCATTATTATGGACAAGGCCTGAATTTGTTTTCTTATCTATAAAATGGGATTATATTCACCTCATGAGGTTGTTGAGGGGGTTAAATGAAGTAATAGATGAACTAGTGCATAGCTATACCTGGTACTTAATATATGTTGGTTATCACATTCCTTCCCTCAAAAAATATCTCTAAATATTTTGAATCACTAAACATCTATCTGGAAAGTATAAGTGGAATCAATTTAGGCTCTGTGCATAGTAAGTGCTGAATAGTTATCTAATGTGAAATTTTCCTACTTCAATGAGTGTTGCCATTTTTAACCTCTTTCTCACTCTCTAACCTCACACTCAGCCTTGGAAGAATCAGGGTCTCAGATATGGTTCTACTTGGATATTTATAGCAAGAAGGTTTTTCCATAGGCCCAGGTTTTCTTGGTCAGTTAAAAGTAAGCAAAATAATCTCAAGTCCTTTCCAAGTGGGATGGTATTGCTATCTTCACCCTAGCTAAGTAACATCTGTTCCTTAAAAAGTTTACAATGGGTGCAACATGAATGGAGTAGTGAATTTGGCCTTGGATTCAACTTTCTTCCCACAAACGGGCAATTCCACATGGCAGGCCTCAAAAGGCATAATGAGCTGTAAACCTCTATAGATTTTAGTAATTGTAAATCTTTCTTTACTTCCCATTACCGGGAAAAGCATCCTCTATCACATCTTTAATCCCAGAATGGCTCTTACACTTTGATTGAATCTAAAGAAGATATTTTGATAAAATTCCATGGAATTAGTTACTTCAAATCCAAATCTCTTTATGGAAGTAACAAAATTACTGTGCAGTAATGTTTTCCAAAACTTTTAACCTTTTTTCTCCCAATGATTTCATGTCATTTTTATAAAGCAAAAGCTTAACACGTCAAGCTCTGTCATGATCAAGTTTAAGTAACAAACAGACACAGAAGAGTTTGTTTTATGAACCTTCATTTGGAACATGGGACCCAATTTTAATGACTAAGAGACATATTAAATGAAGATTTTTTCCCTTCCCTTACTAAGTTTGAGAACAAACAAAACAGAACAAGCTATTTAGGAATAAATTTTTCTTTAACATTCTATTTGGACTTTTCTAACTGAATTCTGAAAGGCGTTTAGCTGTCTGGCAGACAAAACAACTCATGAGTTAGTGATTAATATATCAACTATTTAGTAAGCACTATAGGCACATCATTTATTTGTAGTGAGGCATTTCTAAGAACTTTGTACCTGCTAGTACTGTACAGAAGTAGTATATTTATACGAATATAGACAGTATCATCAGTAGGCTGGATAGATTTTATTTTTGTAATTTTAGTCAAATTATTTTTACCTATGTATCTTTTTTCTTGGGAACATTTTCCAGAGTGGAAAATGAAAAGCTTGAATCTGAATACTGTTAGTTAACTTTGCAACAAATTCATTCTTTTTTTAACTTATGAAAAAATGGCCACGATTTCCAAATTTGAATACTCGTATTTTCCTGACAGCTCAGACTGGGAAAAAAAAGAACCAATCCTTGCCTAGAAATGCTCTGCTAAACACCTATTTGTTTCAGGATGAACTACTCTCTAGTCAAGAATTTGATTAGTAGCTTTCACTGTCTCAGCAATAAAATAAAAAAATTATACAGTGGGAATAAAATGTGGATGAGGTATAACAAGACTTCTCTTGTAAGTCCAGTTAGAATCCAGGTGTAGTACACTGCTATGAACACTGGATTTGAAGTGAGACACATCTGTGATAAAATCCAAGCTCTCTTTTTTGGTAGCTGCATGAATCTTCACAATCTACTTTAACTATCAAGTCTATTTCCTGTTCTCTAAAAATTGGGATAACAATCACCCACCTGCTCACAGGATTCTTTTTGAGAATTACATAAACCAATGTATCAAAGTACCCAGAACCATTCCTAACAAACAATAGATGCTCAACAAATGTGGTGGATCTGATTTTCTCTGGCCTCCTCTTATGTAAAATGGGTGGTAGGGTGGATTAGATGTCCTCCAGGTTTCCGGAGACATAAGATTCTAAGACCCATAATATCTTAATACTGCATTTAGAATTCTTTGGGGTGAAAAGCAGAAAATTAAAAAAAAAAAGAATGGAGGGAATGTACTGTACTACAGCAACTCACTTCAGTTTACACAACCAATGTACTCTGCAGAGATTTGTAGAAAGGGAATCTAAGGCACAGAAGCAGGTAAGAGGATTATCAAGTTAGCAGTCAGTATCAGAGGCAGAGCTAGAAATCTAAATCACTGGAGATCAGGGCTTTTTTCCTCTACTCTACACTACACTAGAGCCAATTTAAGACTTTACCTTGGAGCTGTCATCTACTAACTTCAGCAAATCCACAGAAAATTAGGCTTAAGTTTGTCTCTGACAACCTGTCAATCACTTTGTTCTTATTTTCTTTATAAATAACTAGTACCCTTAGATTCTCTTCAGATAGTCCATCCAGAGGTTCCTTTCCCATAACTTTCTAAACTATAAGCAAACTAATCTCTCATCATAATTTACCTGTTCTAGGTCCTATTTCTGTCTATTTGTACCAATGATTGGTAATAAATTAACCAGGTAAAATAATCCAGCCCATAATGCTTACCTAAGATGGTTCATAAGAAGGTGGAAGATTTTAGGCATGGAAGCATTTAGGAGCAGAGGTATGACTTTTGTCAGGGGTTCTTTTTAAGAATGCTTTAAATAATGGCCACATTTTCTAAAGGGTGAAGGTGATGCAAAATGTGTCTGAGCATTTAATTATACTTATACATTCTACCAAATGATATAATCAAATACTTAGAAAAAAATCTGAAGAAAATTAGATAGGGAACTAAAAATTATGATGTCTACATTTCATAATAGCATAACTGGATGTGTTATTTTTCATTTTTTGAATCACTTATCAAATTAGAAATATAATTTATACCAACAAGGTAAGAGTTCACAGGTTGTGCAGCTATTGGTCTAAGGACAAATTGTAAGAAAGAAATTTTTATTATATTTATAAGATAATAGATGAATCCAAAAGTAAAATTTGGGTGTCTACCAGAAACAATATTTTTAAAAGATAAATCTGATATGGCTGTTAAATAAAACTATGAGCAGTTATCTTTAGATCAGAATCATTTATATTTCTAGATTTAAGTAAGCCATGTTCATAATTTAAAAATTTTTATTCAAGTCAAAAGAACAAAAGCTACAATTCCCACCAATGGAAAATAAGAAAACTCTATTTTATAGATATTTTAACCTCTTCTATACTTCTCTGGGATGTTCCAAATATAAACACATAAACTTACCCTTTACGTAGAAAAGACAAGGTATCAGTTATAAACAAAATGGAAGATTACCACATTGAGGTGACATCATATAGTCAATTACCAAGAATGTTAAATAGGTTTAACCCAAACTTAGCAAAAGAGTAATTTCTCATTTCATTAACCAGTAAAAAATAATCTTCATTTATATATGCTGTCATCTATAGTAGGAAACATCATATATGAATGGTGAGTACTTAACAAAAAAGAGCCTCCATAATTGCACTTTGAGTGCTTTCATGACTTATAATGGAAAAATTATCAAAATACATTTGCTCTTAATAGAATTTCATGAAATACTGGAATTCTTTCATGGATCAATCATACATTAAGTAAGGAAAATCACGTTATTTACTTAATTTAGATTAGTAGTATACTGTCTAAAATATAACTTGGTCACTTCTCCATATCTGAGGCTGTTACATCAGAAAATTGCAGGCATGTGTTAATTTGTTCATTTTAGTTTGGCAAAATACAGGTATTTCTGGGGAGATGGCAAGTAGTACAGCTGGTCATCATATGCTTTTCCCCAAGGATCTTGGCCTTCCAGAGTCTAGCGTTCTTTATAATCTTATGACTTTTCTGTTCATCCACCCCCTATGTTATGCTACCAACCTCCATTGGGCTGGAAGTTATTTGCATCACTGGGCATAACTTTCATTTATTTTATTTCCACTTCATTTATTCCAGTTATTCAAGTTGTTTAAGATAAAAGAATGAACACATTCAACCAGAACTTATAGTACAGCTGACCCCATAACAACACAAGTTTGAACTGTGTGGGTCCACTTATACACAGATTTTTTTCAATACTATAGTACTACACAACCTGCAGTTGGTTGAATCTCTGGATGTTGAACCGCAGATATAGAGGGCCAACATAATTATAAAATTGTATGTGGTTTTTCAACTGCAGAAGGGGCTCAGAACCCCTAAGCTTCACATTGTTCAAGGGTCAACTGTAGTTGTAACTAGAGTTGGTTCAACTTTGTTATTTTTTTTTTTTGGTTTAAAAACACAGGCCAAGATTCTCGAAAACCAATCAACAATTATGTGGGAAATGTAAATGATATTAAGGCCATGCAAATTAATCTCCTTTTAAAACACAATCTAACAAGGGTTGAGTGGAAATAGGAGAATCATTAAGAATGTGTTTCAATTTCATTTGAAAGTATGAAAGGTTGAATTTCTGAGTCTTACCAGTGATATTTACCAAAGAGAATTTTTTTTAAATGAGCAAATCTTAATTTCTTTAATTTTGCTGATTTTTTATCAATGAAAAAATTTTTAATTTAAGGAATTTAAATAATATTCATTAGGCTACTGGGTAAAAATTCTCATAATAATCTAAATTCAAAAGCTGATGAACACAAATTAAAAGTCAACTGAATTTGTTTGGATAGTAAAAACAAACATAAAACACAAAAAGTAGCATTGTCCACTGTATGACACTAAATGAGGTACTTTCAGTTATGTAAACATATTAAGTAAACATGTTTTCCCTGCTTTTATTTTTATGCATCACATGTGAATGCAGACAGAGATGTAAAACTACTTTGAGTTAAAAAGAAACCATAATCTTTATTTTATAGTTTATTCTGTATAAATTACTTTATTCTGTAGTACTTTGATGCTAGATTTTTCATGTAATTTTTGAGGAAGATGTTTCATATACAACAAGTTAATGCTAGCTCAAAGACATCTACAAAAACTGTCTCACACTTTTCAACATAATATACAAAACTGTAAAGTCTGTCAAGGTGGAAACCCTTTGGACTTTCTTATTGGAAAGTATAGCAAGGTAAAAAGAAAGCATTATATACAAATAATGTTTAAGCATTCTGTAACAGATGGTGTTCTCAGTGTAACTGAAATGAAACTTATCTATATATACACACAAAATATTTCAGAAGTGAAGTAAACAAAAGCACCAGTTCTTTAAATTACACTTGATCACGTAGACGAGCAAGTCTCTGTGATAGTTCATCCTGGAGAAAACAAATTTTGAAAGTCATAGGGCTGTGACAAATATAAATCACTAATATTTTAAATAGTTCATATTTAAATAAGATTTAAAATATCATCTCAAGAATTCACACAAAAACCAACATTAATAGTTTAGTTTTTTAAAACATTTCAGAATATATGGAGAACTTAATAGAGCAGAAGGCTATGAAGGGGAGCAAATTCAATTTCTAAAAGAAATATGCATGCAAATAGAAAATGTCCATCATTAGTAAGTTAAAGGCTAATCACATTTTGCTAATTTATGATGTCATATTATAGTAGAAAAATACCTTTTATAAAAGAAGAAAAGGAGAATATACTTATTTATATATAAATATGAATACATATATATTTAATTCATTCATCAAGTTCATACAAATGAAGATAAAATCCAACATCTACCTGTTCCATGGAAGTAACACTTGTGCCAACAGAACCGGTCTGACCTTGCGGTAGTTCCATATTGAGATCAAGGCTACAATTTAAAAATAATTAACATAAATGAATGTTAATATAGGCATCTTGCTCCTTATCTAATTATAATAAGCAATAAAACAGGCTTATTGCAAACTTGAATATTCCATCTAGTATTTTACCTTAATTTAAATTAACATAATACTGATTCAATTTTATTAATGTGAACAGAACTTAAACATCTTCTGAATGTCCACCTTAGGATAAATGAATGTACTATTTTTAAAGAGTTTTTGTTGAGCCCTAATGGAGACCCATGTAGATGATAATCTTATGATAGAAAAGCTAATAAAAGACAGGAAAATGTTCTGGTCCTCTGAAAAAAGACCAAAACAACGGTCATCCAACATACTGAATTTATTGGAGATTACTATTATGTCTCCTACTGTAAAGAAAATTAATAATATGCCGAAATAAGATAAAACAGGCTAGATATATGTAGCCTTAGGATCAACATTCATATTTAATATCTGAGCTAATTTCAAGTTTAGTGTTTAGCTCCTGAGCTACCATTGGTAGAAATCATTACTTGCATCTAACTATATAACTGAAGCTTAGAAAATTTAAGACAACTTGCCCAAGGTCACTCTAGTGATAGACAGGATTCAAACCCAGGTTTGTCTGCCTCCAAGGCCCATTATTTTAATCTCTATTATAACTACTTCTCTAGGATACAAACTAGTCTTTCTGCCTGTATCTAGACCAGTGTATGCCAAATCCAGTTTGAAAACACTACAGTGAATGTAGTAACTTTAATAGTCATTGGGAGATTCTACAGAAATATTGTTATTTAAAAGGTAAAGATGCTATACTAAAATTTTGCTATAATAAAACAGAATGTGAATAAACATCTTTAAGGATGGGCATCAGTATTTCAACATCAGTGTTCTACCTATTTCTTCTGCTCCAGCTACTACCCATCATTGACATAAGAAATCTTTCTCCATTTGGCTCCACACCCTCAAAGAATATTTGACAATGTCTGGAGGCATTTTTGGCTGTCACAACTGGTGGGAGGGGTGATACTGGTATCCTGTGGGTAGAGGCCAGGGATGCTGTTAAATATTCTACAATACATAAGACAGCCCCTGGGATTATCTAGCCCAAAATGTCAATAGTGTCGAGGTTGAGAAATTCTACTCTAAATCTTATCAAAAAGTTTTCTACTGAACTTGATTTCCACTGAGGGTTGGCAAGGCTGTAATACGGCAATATTCATTTTATAAGATCTCCCCATCTGTATTTTCAAGCCCAATCTTCTTCTTTTGTCTTTGGTAGAAACAGAAATAAGTCCTTAGCCTCATATTACTAAAACAGTCTTCTGACATGCCTTGGTCTTTTTTACAATACTTAAAAATCACCTTTCTTACTACCTTCCTGTTGGTATATGGGCTATGTCAGGATACTTAAAACAAAATAGTGTACAACTTAACGTCCAGCCCTGTTCTCAAATAATGTAAACCTGGTTTATTAACCTCGGTTTTAATTCACTAATGATAGATACATTAGTGATCTAAAGAGCTGATAAACTAAACTGTTCATTCCAATTAAGCATTAATTTAGACACGAATAATACTCATCAACTCTATTTTCCAGGTGTCTTCAAATCTTCTCTTCTCAGGAGAAAAGAAAAGAGTACAAAATCTCTTTCAATCTATTACTCTACCTTTGAAGATAAAGCATAAAACTTTAGTATCACTCAGTCTTAATCTCTATCTTTGAAAAAAATTTTATTCTTTACTATAATGCTCTCTTGAACTAAATAATATACCAGAGAAAACTGATATGACTTCTGTAGCATACAAGTCATTCCCCTCTAACAAGAAGGGCCTAAAATAAATAGCCTCTTAACAGACACCCTATTTCTAATAGCAGTACCACAAAAGGTGCCAATTATTTACTTAAAAAAAAACAAATAACCATCTGTAATAATGAAATGTTGCCATCTTTTGAACCCCTTGGACATTTTGCACATATTGCTCAGTTTGCAGGACTCAAATTGGGCTTAAGACTTAATGGCCTGATCATAGTAGAATTCTTTTGGAAGATCCTAGATTTAAAAAAGTAATCATTTGCTATATGCTGAACACAGAAGGTACTGAAGAAATTTTAAACACTCCTTCCTCCCTCAATCACCTTCCTCAATTTCTTATCACACAATAATTGAATCTATCTCCAGAGATTTTTAAGAAATACTAGGATGATTTGAAAAAAGTTATATTTTTATGAGCTTGACAAGTTGCTGGATGATTGTTCCAAAGGCCCTTCCAGCACTAAATTCTAGGGTCAAAACCTAACTCTGACCACTGGTGTAGTTATTAAATCAACATTATCTAATAGCACTTGAATAATTTCTTACCCAGCTTCATCTGCCATTTCCTGAAGCAGCATATCCACTTGGTTCTAGAATAAGAAAAGAAGAATTTTTATTTAAATGATATTTGCTTGTTGGGTAGTTTTTGTTTCTAATTTAGCTTCAAAAAGGGGGAACTGGTCTACAATTTTTAGAAGAAAGCTTTTTTAAAAAAGTATTTTTTTACCACCAGAGGGAGCTGAATTATCTCAGAAAATGATTTATTTCTGAATAATGCTAAATTATAGCCTTAAACTATGAGGTTACATGAAAAATATTAGCAGTGATATTCACATTATAATTTGAATCTGGGTAATGTAGCTCTCCAAGGAAGTGAAGCAATTTATAAAGCTCTGTTCTAACCCACTTTGCTTGTATTTAAAATGTAACAGATTTAAATTTTAATCATAACTGTTTAACTTAGTTAAAATATTTTGAACACACAGGTGTGAGTTCTAAGATGTAGTCACAGCTGTACCACTAACACGGTACATGATTTTACACAAATCACTAATAATGCTGTTGGGTCTTAGTTTCTCTTATTCTCTTTCATTCACTTTCAAAGTATTTCCAAAATACAAAAGTCCAGAAAATAATAGATCAAATACTTATGTGCTTAGATAAAATATCAAATACTTAGATCATTTTGTTTTTACCTCATATCTAAAATAACAATATTTGTATTTTTCAAATTCACTTAAATGGCATTATACTATGTATACTCATTATTCTGCAACCTGCTTTTTTCACTTAACCTAATAAAATCTAGTTATATTGAGATCTAGAGATCTAGTTCATTAACTTTCACTGCTGTATATTACTGCAATAAAGAAATATTCCCAATTATATTTTTCTATTTTATTTATGGACATTTAAACATTTTTGCCTAATCTCTCCTGATTACAGACAATGGTTCAATGAACATTCTCATATAGAAGTATGTTTATACACACATGTAGGGGATTTTTTGTGTATAAATTTGGAAGTAGAAGGACTAGGTTACAGGTTACATGCATTTTCATATACTTTGATTTTTTAAAAAATTTTAATTGTGCACCTACTTTATGCCAGATATCATTTTAAGTGCTGGGGATGCATCAATAAACAACAGTGCTAAAAATCCCTGCCTTCGTTAAGCTTACATTCTAGTGTGTGCATGTGAAAGGGGTGGGAGCAGATAAAACTTTTTCTAAAAAATTATGTGGTATATTAAGTGATATGTACACTAGAGAAAAATAAAGCAGGGATGGCAGATAGGGAGTATGGCACATGGTGGGCGTGCCGTTTGCTGTACTTTTAAGGATGGTCAGAAAAGACCTCACTGAGAAAATGACATTGGAACAAAGAACTGAAGGAGGTAGGGGAGCCAGCAATGAGAATGCTTACAAAACAGGAGGAAGAAGACTCAGGCAGAGGAACCTGTGAGTGGAATGACTTTAAGAAATGTACTTGGTGTGTTTGACAAATAACAAGGAGGCCAAGTACCTGAGTAGAGTGATGAGTAAACATAGGTGATAAGGTCAGAGAAGCAGGGTGAGACAGATCCTAAAATGACACTATAGGCCATTGTAAAGATTTTGGCTTTTATAAATTGAAGGAGATGTAGAGCCACTGAAGGGTTTTGAGCAGAACAATGACATGATCTGAACTATTTTAACAGGATTACTCTGACTGCTATGTTAAGAACGAACTGCAGATATTACCACATTTCTTCTCCACAGTGAATATGACAATTTAATTCTAATTATTCATTAGCATGGTATAAGAATTTGGGCGTGTTCTAAGCGTGTTCAACCAGATCCCTCTCCATTTCTGCTGTAAGTTTTGGCTGACTCTTTATGAAGAATGTTTTGTACATATTTAAAGGTCCCAGAACCTAGCACAATACCTGAAGCAGGAGAAGGTGCTCAGCAAATGTTAGATGAATGAATCTCAAGATTTTTCAGAGTTATGAGGCATTTAGATATCATCAAATCCAACCCATACATTTTACAGCTATGGAAACTGAGGCCCAACGTAGTGAGTATTTTAAGGTCACAAACTTAATTAGTGGCAGACTATGGATTAGATCAAGTATCCTGATTATAAGTCATTCTTCTAATTCATTTGTGTTTTCCTGAACTTGACCATAAAATTACCTGGAAATCACCTAAGGTGCTTGAGTAAGAAACAGAAACTCTAGAACAGCACTTCTCAAAATCAGTGCACAAAAATCACCTGGTAATCATGTTAAAATGATTCTGATTCAATGTATCTGTGGACAGGGTCTGAATTTCTGCAATCCTAATGAGCTCCCAGATGATACAAATGTTCCTGATTCTTGCACCACACTTTGGGGAGAAAAGCTTTAGAGTAGGTATTAAAGTAATGGCTAAATATAAGCTCACTATAAGACATACACATTAATTCTTTCTTTCTCAACTCTAAAACCAGACATAAGCTTTTTCTCTTATTTACCTCAGTGAAAGGCATCATCTGCAGTAAAATTTTGATGGATGTCTATTGATTTTTTCCTAACCTATTTTGTAAATTATATTTTTCCATATTATCATCTGAAGTAGTGAAAACAAGTTCTTTGTTTACTTAATTAACCATATGATAGGCACTGGGATCAAAAACAGTGATAATGAAATTAATTGGCTATATGAATACTTAAGTTTCACAAAAACTTTGTTTCTGGCTTGTGTGACATCCAAACTAGTTTCAAATTTTAATGTTCTCTGTGCCATGTCTCTAAGTTGCAAATTCAACAACATCCTAGAAAAAAACCCTAGTTTTCTGAAAATAATTGATCTTATAATTTATTATTTGTTCACCTGTGGCTTGTGCATAAATAACATACTGAAAGAGCAGGCAGGAAGCAGAATGCTTGCAAATGAGATGAATTAGCTGAGGCTTAGGATAATATTTAATACCCACTGGCCTCAGTTAGCCTCTAGTGCAATGCCTTCATCAGTAAGAACCACTAGCAGTAAGGTAGAATCAAGTTCTAGACCCTCTAGACATGTGACCTATTATGATTCTTAGAATGTCAAAACAAGATAGGAAATGTTGTCTTCCAACATGTTCTCAGGAATCCTGGGTCAGAGCATAATTTCCTATTTGCATTTTGGGGATACATCATGTTTACTTAACACTCTAGAAATGATTTAGGCTCACAAAGCCATTATATTTTGAAGTTGGGTAATTTAAAAAGTTATTTTAAGTAGAGAAACCATTCTTACTTGTGGTGTTGTTAGGGTTGTAGTACTACTCATTGTGTCTTCCATTTGTTGTGTTTGAACATCCAGTGTTTCAAATTGCTGTTCAAATTTGTCCATGAGGGCAGAAATCTGCGAAAATAAATATAGTCATAAGGAAAAACTTACACTGAAAAGATTCTAGCTGAACATCATTTTTTTTTTACCTTTTCAAGGTTCATACTTCTCAACGTAACATCCATAGACTTAACTACACCTGCCATGGACTTGGTTACCTATTAGGAGTTAAAAAAAAAAGACTGAGAATCCTATAATATAAGAAATCTCAAAATTTATGTAGTCTCTTAAATAAATTACTTGTAGATCATCTTGTAAATTTATCTACCATTTCCTTAATAGTAAAAATGCAGTATGTATTTCTAGTGTAGGCATTGACTTTTATCTTTGACTCTTCATTAGAAGACAACTAATCAGACCCTAGCTGAAAAGCCACTGCCAAAATAATTTTCTTCACTAAGCATTTTGATTATGCCTCCCCTGCCCTATAAAAGCCTTACCAACACCCTGTAGCACCTTTCAATAGATTTAGATTTCTGACAGCTCTTAATACCTTCAATAATTTAAATCAAGAGTTCCTATTATTTACAGATATTAAGGTTTACCTTGCCCATTGTTACTGCAGTTTGAACTCTGGCTGCCACAGCATCAACCCTAGCACTCATTCTCAAGAAATTAATTGCTTGGTTCTTCTGGCGGATTGCATTTTCAGCATGTATTCTTGCAACTTCTGTATTACCTTTCTGAATGGCCTGTTTTAAATACAGGAAAAGTAAATAGTGACGACAAAGACCAAAAGTAAATATTGGCGAAGAAAGGGACCAAAAGTACAGAAATTTTAAAAAAGAGGAAAACCCCAATTAACATATTTTAATAATATTTAAGAGGTTTTAGAATTAGTTTTTTAGGAAATAAAAGGAGAATCTATAATTTTTAAATTTTTTATTTATGATTAGAAGATATATGCTCATTAACATTTTAAGAGATTTGAATATAAAGTTTAAAATATTTCCCATAATCACTGAGCCATTACAACTATTAATATTTTAGTGTAAAGTATTCCAAGTACATAAACCTATTTACTAGAATGTAAATTACAAAAGTACATGCATTAAGAGTATATTGTTTTCTCACCTAGTTAAGGAAAGATTTTCAATTAAGTCAATAAAAAGATAACTACATCATCATTTCTAAAGGCTGTGTTGTATGGATGCACCATTAATCAGGACTTTCCTTGTGTGTGGTACAAACACTATACCGATAGTACATAAAATGATTTTAGATGTTACACAGACATAAGTACTTCATTTTAATTATGCATTCATTTAAATGTATATTTCAAATGGATGTAACTAGCATAGATTCATGCTTTCTGCTATACTGTAATAGGCATGGCCAGGTATAAAGTTAAAAGTCTATTTAAAGAAAAATATTAAATAGTTCAGATGTTACACCAGTATAGCAAAACTGATACAACACAGAAGCAACTGAAATTAGAGAACATGGATCAATAAGATATCTGATTGCTGGGTATTTAATTTACTTCCAATTATTCAATAATACAAAAACCAATGTGATAAATATATTAGTACATGTAAACTCAACACTTTCCAAGGTTTTATTCTCCTGGTTAACATCCATAACCACACACAGTTATAATTTTTTTCTTGTGATGAGAACTTTTAAGATCTACTCTCTTAGCAACTTTCAATATACAATACAGTATTATTAAGTATAGTTACCATGCTGTACATTATATCCCCAGGACTTTTTTTATAACTAGAAGTTTGTACCTTTCGACCATCTTCACCCATTTCACACATTCCCTCATCTCACAGACTCGCCCATTTCCTGCTTCCAACAACCACAAATCTGTCCTCTTTATTCATGAGTGTTTTTTTTTAAGATTCCACATAAGTTAGATCACATGGCATTTGACTTTCTCTGTCTAACTTATTTCACTTGGCATAACACCCTCAAGGTCCATCCATGTTGTTGCAAATGGCAAGATTTCCTTCCTTTTATGGGTGAATAATATTCACTTTATATACATATATATATATATACATGCACACACATACATACATAAATATATATACATATATGTACATATTCTACATTTTATTTTTCCACTCATCCATCGATGGACAACAGGTTGTTTCCATGTCTTGGCTATTATAAATAATGCTGCAATGAAAATGGGGGTGCATGTATCTCTTTGAGTTTAGTGATTTTTTCCTTTAAATACCCAGAAGTGTAACTGCTGGACCATATGGTAGGTTCTAATTTTCATTTTTTGAGGAACCTCTATACTATTTTCCATAGTGGCTACACCAATTTATATCCCTACCAACAGTGCATAAGAGTTCCCTTTTTTCCACATCTTCTCCAACACTTGTTGCTTCTTGTCTTTTTGATGACAGCTATTCTAACAAGTGTGAGGTGGTATCTCATTGTGCTTTTGATTTCCACTTGTCTGATGATGAGTGATGTTGAGAACATTTTCATGTACCTGTTGGTGATTTGTAATTTTTTTAAAATGTCTATTTAAATGTCTGTGCATTTTTAATCAGATTTTTTCCTATTGAGTTGTATGAGTTAATTACATATTTCACATATAAACCCCTTATCTGATTGATGTATGATTTGCAAATATTTTGTCCCATTCAATAGGTTGCTTTTTAAATTTTTTAATAGTTCCTGTTGCTCTGCAGAAGCTTTTTACTTTGATGCAGCCACATTTGTTTATCTTTGCTTTTGTTGCCGTTGTTTATGGTGTCAATTCCAAAAATTCATTGTCAAGACCAGTGTCAAGGAGATTTACCACCTATGTTTTCTCCTAGAGTTTTATGGCTGCAGGTCTTGAGTTCAAATCTATAACTTATTTTGAGATAATTGTTGCAGATGCTGTAAGACAGTGGTCTAGCTTCATTCTTTTGCAATATGGCTGTCCAGTTTTCCCAACACCATTTACTGAAGAGACTGTTCTTTCCCCACTGTATATTCTAGGGTTGTTTGTTGCAAATAAATTCCCATATATGTGTGGGTAATTTCTGATTTCTCTATTCTGTTCCACTGATCTGTGTGTCTATTTTTATGTCAATACCATGCTGTTTCACTTAACTATAGCTTTGTAATAATAGTTTGAAATCAGGAAGCATGATGTCTTCAGCTTTGTTCTTCTTTATCAAGGTTGCTTTGAATATTCAGTCTTTTGTAGTTTCATATAAATTTTAGGATTGTTTGTTCTATTTCTGTAAAAAAAATGCCATTGGTTTCTTGACAGGGATTTCACTGAATCTGTAGATTGCTTAGGGGATTATGGATATTTTAGCAATATTAATTGCTGTGATCCATGAGCATGGAATCTCTTTCCATTTATTTGCATCTTCTTCAATTTCTTTCATCAGTGTTTTATAGTTTTATGTGTAGTCTTTCATCTTCTTGGTTAAATTTTCCTAGGTATTTTACTTTTTTGATGCAATTGGAAATGGGATTGTTTTCTTTTTTACTTCTAGTTTTATTGAGATGTAATTGATATACAGCACTGTATAAGTTTAAGGTATATAGCATAATGATTTGACTCCATACTTCAAGAAATGTTTTACCACAATAAGTTTAGTAAATATCCATCATCTCATATAGATACAAAATTAAAGAAATAGAAAAAATATTTTTTCCTTGTGATGAAAATTCTTAGGATTGTTTTCTTAATTTCTTTTTAATAGTTTGTTATTGATTACAGAAACACAACCGATTTTTGTGTATTGATTTGTGTCCTGTAACTTTACTGGATTTGTTTATTCTAACAGTATTTTTGATGGGGTATTCTGTATATACTATCATGGGTTTTCTATATATAATATCATGTTATCTGCTAATAGAGACAGCTTTACTTCTTTCTTCCTGATGTGGATGCCTTTTATTTCTTTTTCTTGCCTAATTGCTCTGGCTAGGACTTCCAGCAGTATGTGGAATAAGAGCGGTGAAAGTGGGCATCCCTGTCTTGTTCTTGATCTTAAGGACTATCTTTTAGCTTTTCCTCCTTGAGTATGTTAGCTGTGGGCTTCTCATATATGGCTATCATTATGTTGAGGTACATTCCCTCTATATCCACTTTGTTGAGAGTTGTTAACATGAATAGATGTTGAATTTTGTCAAATGCTTTTTCTGCATTTATTGAAATATGATTTTTATCTTTCATTTTGTTTATGTGGATATCACACTGATGATTTGTGGATGTTGATCCATCCTTACATTCTGAAAAAAATCCCATTTAATCATAGTCTCTGATTAAATAAATTCTGTTTAATCCACATAAATCCCCTTTAATCAAATGCACTGCTGCATTTGTCTTTTAATGCCTTTCAAAGCATTGTTGAATTTGGTTGCTACTATTTTGTTGAGGATTTTTGCATTTATGTTCATCAAGGATATTGGCCTATGTTTTTTCTTGTAGTTTCTGTGTCTTGTTTTGGTATTAGGGTAATGCTGGCCTTATTAAGTGAGTTTGGATGTGTCCCCCTCCTCTTTTAACTTTTTGGATGAGTGAGTTTGAGGTTGGTATTACAGTTGACCCTTGAACAACGTGGGGGCTGGGGTGCAAACCCTCCATGTAGTCAAAAACCAATATATAACTTTATAGTTGGCCTTTGTATCTGCAGTTCTACATCTGCAGATTCCACAACCTTGGATACTTGCAGTACAGTAGTATGTATTTGTTAAGAAATTGTGTATAAGTGGACCTGTGAAATTCAAATCAGGGTTGATCAAGGGTCAACTGTAATTCCTTTTTTTTATAATTCTTTAAATGTTTGGTATAAATCACCATTAAAACCATCTCATCCTGGTCTTTGTTTATTGGAAATCTGAATATTTTAGTACTGCTGTACTTGCCTGAGATTTGAAAATTCAAAAATTATTTTTAGATTATTTCTAATTTCCTCAAGATACAAAGATATTAGATCTTTTTTATATTTTCTCTCTCCTTGAATAGTTGGGCTTATACTTTTAGAAAAGCATGATGATAATAAATCAATTTTAAGTTTACCTCTTCTTCTAACTCAGCCTAACTACTTTTATCTCCTCTTCTGAAAGTTTTTTTCCCTTAAAGTTTTCTCTATTAGGAATGAGATAAAATTCACAAAGTGGGATTTCCAGTCAAGATGGTGTAGTAGGACCACGAGCTCGCCTCAACTCGTGACTACAACGAAACCACAAGTGACTGCTAGAGCATCGGAAAATGACTGGAACTTAGCAAAGATCGTCTTCAACTGGAAACATAAAGAAGGAACCACAACAGCATGGTAGGAGGGATGTGCTCGCAATATAATTGGGCTCCATACGCCCCAGGTGGGTGACCCACAAGTGCTGAAGAATAAACAAGTTGCAGAGGCCCTCCTACAGGAGTGAGGGCTCTAAGCCCCACATCAGGCTCCTCAGCCTCGGGTTCTGGCATTGGGAGGAAGAGGAGACCCCAGGGCATCTGGTTTTGAAGGCCAGCTGGGCTTAGCTGCAGGACCCTCATGGGACTGGGGGAAAAAGAGACTTCATTCTCTTGGGGAGCATACACAGAATCTCGAGGGCACCAAAGGCAGAGGCAGTGATTCCATAGGAACCTGGGCCAGGCCTGCCTGCTGGTATTGGAGGTTTTCCTGGGGACGTAGGGGACTGCTGTGACTCACCCAGGAGACATAAAAGCTGGTGGCACACATTCTGGGAGTGTTCATCTACATGAGCTTTCCTGGAGGCTGACATCTTGATTGGATCATTAGCACCTAGCCCTAGCCCCACCCAACAGCCTATAGGGAAGCCTCAGGCCAAACAACACAGCCCCACCCATCAGCACACTTCCTAAGCCACAAAGGCCTCTAGATACAGCCCTACCCACCAGAGAGGTCCAGGACCAAGCTTCACCCAGCAGTGGGCAGGCACTGGCTCCTCTGCCAGGAAACCTCCATAAGCCTCTAGTCCATCCTCATCCACCAGGGGGTAGATACCAGAAGTAAGAAAACAACAACCCTAAAGCCTGTGGAAGGAATCCACAGACAGGCCAGACTCTACATTAGGACTGGCTGGACCCTAGCCCTTGGGTGACGAAAGAGGAGTGTACTGCTGGGACGCATAGGACACCTCCCACAGAGGGCCACCTCTCCAAGGTCAAGAAACATAACTATCTACCTAAAAATACAAATAAAAAGATAAACAATATGAGGCAGCAGAGGAGGATCTCCTAGGCCAAGGCACAAGATAAAATCCTAGAAGAAGAAATAAGTGATGAGGAGATAGGCAATTTATCTGAGAAAGAGTTTAAAGTAATGATGACAAATATGTTTAGAGAACTCAAGAGGAGTATAGATGCACAGAGTGAAGTTTTTAGCGAGTTGGAAAATATAAAGAATACCCAAACAGAGTTGAAGAATAAAATCACTGAAATGAATAACACACTAGAAGGAACCAAGAATAGACTAAACGAGGCAGAAGAACGGATAAATGAGCTAGAAGTCAGATTAGTGGAAATCACTACTGCAGAATAGAAAAAAGAAAAAGGAATGAAAAGAAATGAGGATAGTTTGAGAACTCTGGGATAATGTGAAGCACATTAATATTCACATTATAGGGGTCCCAGAAAGGGAAGAGAGAGAGAAAGAACCTGAGAAAAATTTTGGAAAGATAGTAACCAAAAACTTTCCCAACTTAGGGGAGGAAACAGTCACCCAAGTCCAGGAAGCACAGAGAGTACCACACAGGATCAATCCAAAGAGGAACACACCAAGGCACATAGTCATCAAATTGACAACAATTAAGGATAAGGAGAAAA